AGCTTGACTATCCGAATGTTGGTTGATCTTAGAACAAAAGAACAAAGAAAATTACAGCACAGGAACAGGCCCTTCAGCCCTTGAAGCCTGCACCAACACGCTGCCCGTCACAACTAAAACCCCATACCCTTCTGGGGACCGTATCCCTCTATTCCCATCCTATTCATGTATTTGTCAAAACGCCCTTTAAACGTCACTATGGTATCTGCTTCCACTACTTCCCCCAGCAGGGAGTTCCAGGCACTCACCACCCTCTGTGTAAAAGAGCTTGTCTCGTACATCACCTTTAAACCTTGCCCCTCACACCTTAAACCCATAGACCCTGGTAACTGATTCTTCCACCCTGGGAAAAAGCTTCTGACTATCCAGACTGTCCACACCCTTCATAATCTTGTAGACCTCTATCAAGTCACCCCTCAACCTCCGTCGTTCCAGTGAGAACAAACCAAGTTTCTCCAACCTTTCCTCATAGCTAATGCCCACCATACCATCCTGGTAAATCTTTTTTGTACCATCTCCAAAGCCACCACATCCTTCTGGTAGTGTGGCGACCAGAATTGAACACAATATTCCAAATGCTGCCTAACTAAGGTTCTATAAAGCTGCAACATTACCTGCCAATTTTTAAACTCAATGCCCTGGCTGATGAAGGCAAGCATGCCATATGCCTCGTTGACTACCTTTTCCACCTGTGCTGCTGTTTTCAGTGACCTGGGTACCTAGATCCCTCTGCCTATCAGTACTCTTAAGGGTTCTGCCATTTACTGTATACTTTCCATCTGGATTAGACCTTCCGAAATGCATTAGCTCACATTTTTCCTGATTAAACTCCATCTGCCATCTCTTTGCCCAAGTCACCAACCAGTCTATATCTAGCTGTATCCTTTGACGGTCCTTATCGCTGTCTGCAATTCCACCAACCTTTGTGTCATCAGCAAAGTTACTAATCAGACCAGTTACATTCTCCCCCAAATCATTTATATATATTACAAACAGCAAAGGTCCCAACACTGATCCCTGGGGAATGCCACTAGTCACAGCCCTCCATTCAGAAATGCACCCTTCCACTGCTACCCTCTGTCTTCTATGACCGAGCCAGTTTTTTATACGTCTTGCAAGCTCACCTCTGACCCCGTGTGACTTTACCTTCTGTATCAGCCTGCCATGAGGGACCTTGTCAAAGGCCTTACTGAAGTCCATGTACACAACATCCACTGTCCTACCTATGTCGTTAATACCAATATGTACCACAACCTCTGGCTGTTCACCCTCTCCCTTCAGAATGCTTTCTGCCCGTTCAGAGACATCCTGGACCCTGGCACCAGGGAGGCAACACACCATCCTGGAGTCTCTTTTACGTCCACAGTATCCTCTCCAATAACTTGCCTAACACTGATGTCAAGCTCACTGGCCTGTAGTTCCCTGGCTTGTGTTTGCTACCTTTCTTAAACAATGGAACAACATTAGCCACCTTCCACTCTTCCGGAACTTTACCAGTGGCTAAAGATGAAGCAGAAATCTCCACAAGGGCCTCTGCAGTTTCTTCCATAGCCTCCCACAACTTCGGAGGATGGATTGATCAGGCCCAGGGGGTTTATCCACCTTAAAGTGCTTTAAGGTTGCAAACACCACCTCTCTGGTAATGTGTATCCAGTTCAAAATATCCCCACTTGTTTCCCTTATTTCCTTAGCATCCATGATTCTCTCCTCAGTAAATGCTGAGGCGAAATATTCATTAAAAATCTCCCTCATCTCCTATGGCTCTAGATGGCTATGCTGATCTTTAAGGGGGCCTATTCTCTCCCTAGCCACCTTTTTACTTCTAATATAGCTATAAAACCTCCTGGGATTATCTTTAACCTTATATGCCAGATCAATCTCATACCCTCTTCTGATCTTCTGATTTCCCTCTTCAGTGTGCTCCTACGTATTTTACAGTCATCTGGGGATTCATTCGAGCCCAATAGCTTAAACCCAATGTATGCTACCTTCTTTTTCCTGACCAGGAAGTTGTATACAACTACAACATGACGTGCCAATTTTTATAATCTATGTCCTGACCGATGAAGGCAAGCATGCCATATGCCTTCTCGACTATCATATCCATTTACTTTGTCACTTTCGGGGAACTATGGACCTGTATGTCTAGATCCCTCTGTATGTTAATGCATCTACAGGTTCTGCCATTTAGTGTATGCTTTCCTCCTACATTAGACCTTCCAAAATACATCAGCTCGCATTTGTCCAGATTAAATTCCATCTGCCATTTCTCCGCCCAACTTCCCAGCCCATCTGTATTCTGCTGCAACCTCTAGCAATTCACTGCACAACCTGTAGCTCTTTGTGTCATCTGCACTAAGATCAGACCACCTATATTCTCCTGCAAATCATTATTATGCACCACTGAGCATGGATCTCCAGTCAGAAAAGTACCCTTCTACTGCTACTCTCTGTCTTCTGTGACCAAGCCAGTTCTGTATCCATCTTGCCAGCTCACCATGAATCCCGTGTGATTTCACCACTGTATGAGCCTGCCAGGAGGATGCTTAGACTGTGACCTCTGGTTCTGGACTCCATGGCCATCAGTGACATCTTTCCTGCATTTGTTTGAATATTGTAGGTTTCTTTGAGATTCCCCTCAGTTTTTTAAACCAATCCAGTTTCATTTCATACATCAGTCCTGCCATCCCAGGAATTAGTCTAGTAAATGGAGGGACTGCAACAAAGATTTACCAGATCCAGTAAGATGGGGTGTGACAGGGTGCAGTTTCTACCTGCACCTCCCTGTTGTGTATCTCTCAGAAGTGTATGGTATAGAAATCTACTTGCTCCTGAGATTTGGTTCTATAATTTGAACTATATTGTTCCTCCCAGTGGAGACTGGGAAGGCAAAAAAAACTTTGCAGTGTCACACTTTAAAAAAAAAATGCAGGTCTTTTTTCTCACTTGCTTGGAACATTCCTCTTTGCTAATTATGAAAATAGTGGAGTTAGGTATAGAACCTATTTGACTGAGTTGGTGGTTGAAGATAGGAGCAGGTGTGATGAAACCTCCAGGAATACAAATATTCAATAGAGTTGACAACCCTAATTGAAATAAAAAGGCTATTTTGTCTCTGGTATAAGGAATGTAGGTCATCAGTAGATAAACTGGAAATTCAGAAGAAACATCTTTACCCAAAGAGCAGTGAGAATGTGAAACTCGCTTTAATTGTCTATTGTGTGTGCAGTTTGAGGAGCAACTGGGTGAACATTTGTGGAAGGAGAGACTAGAGGGTTGTCCTGATTGAGTTTGATAAGGAAGGCTCGGAGTAGGCCCAACATGGACAGCTTGGACCAAGTGCTCCTCTCTCTGCCGGGTGCTCTATCTAACATATGGAAATTGTAATCTTAATATGTGAATCAAATTAAAAAGTCAAATATCTCTTAAATAAATGAGTCCATTATCCTGATTAGTGTTAAGACATCTTTGGGGATGTACTTCTTTGATTATTTTACTGGATCTAACAAATTTATCAAGACTGCTTTGGCCACAACTAGTGAATCATTTCCCAGTTGTGAATAATCTACTGTGGACAGAAGAGAGAAGTGTATTGACACTAAATGTTGTTGAGGGTTTCTTAGTATTTTTGTCTTGCTTCAATCCTCGCCAGCTTCCCTAGACATGCTGATTTGAACGTTATTATTTAGGAGATGGAGAGAAATTTAAATGAAAAATATGGCTCATAGTGCCAAATGGTATAACCCAAAACTGTGGGTTTGCAGTGGTTCACTTTTTATGCTCCCAAGTTGTAGGTTGTTTATTTTATGTTCATAAAGATTCCTTCATCCTTCAATTATTCTATGTCTAATTCTTCATTCAAATTTTTAATTCCATTTTCAGTGAAAAAAACCAAACATGACTTTTCATGCAACCCTTATTATCCAATTAAGTATTTTTCTTGTTTTCTGCTTCAGTGGCATTTCAAGCTGTTGTTGATTATAGCCTGATCAAGCCACATAATGCAGAGACTTTGCTGTGAGTTTTAATTTATGACTATTACTAATAGAAAACCCACTGATACCACAGTACTGTGCAGGAAACATCGAAGGTGTACTTGTTCTTTTCATGTCACTTTCACTTGTTGTCCTGATTGCGCACCAAAAATAGTTTGCAGACAAAATCACCCATGAGCTATATGGAGAAAAGATTGTGATCATCAGACAAATTGTGTCGTATTTGGTGTAGTATGCTTCAGAGTTTAGTGTACTCAGTACACTGCCACTTTTACGTCGGTGCACACCTACATTTCATGTCAATGTAATAGTGTCATTATTGGTTATATCTCTGTAATGCAGTCCAGATTATTGCCTTGGTTTATTGTGAATTTATACGCTGCTAGTTTGAACGTGTTTCAAATATATAAACCATGGATAAAGACAGAAGTGGGTCAACAACCCCCCCCCACAAGACTGTTCCACCATTAATGACTGATCTGTCCTTGAACTCCATTTACCTGCTTTTGATTCATTTAACCGCTTGTCGAACAAAAACCTATGAATCTCAATATCTAAAGCTTTTGTGGGAGAGAGGTTTCCAGATTTCCAGAATGCTTTGTGTGAAGAAGTGTCCATAATGTCATTCTAAAATACCTAGATTTAATTTTAAGGTTATGATATTTGTTCTGAATTTCCCCCACCAGAGGAAAAAGTTTCTTTCTGTCCACCATAACGGCTTGTCTAAGCATTGTAAATTCTTCCATCACCCTTTTTAAAATTTTACTGTCAGGGAATACAAGCCCTAATCTAAGTAATCTGTCCTGATAGTTCTACTCTTTTAGTCCCAGTATAATCTCAGTGAATCTATATTCCACCTCATACAACCCTACTATAACCTTTCTGAATGTAGCACTCTCCTTTATAAACCATACAGTTTTGCATAAAAGCAATCCCTGTTAAATGTTAATCTACAAAATAAATGGTGTTTGGAAAAAGAAAGATTTATGATATCTGCATTTTCAGGGCAAAATGGATAAAGAAAAGGAAAATAGTGATAAAAAAGATAAGGAAGATAAATCTCCCAGCAAGTCTGCACGAGTCCATCGAGTTTCAAAGTCGCCAGCTCACGCAATATCTTCAGACATTTCACCAATATTAATTGGAGTAGAAACAAGAGGCTGTGAGCAAGACAATTTGACTGAAGGCCATTCCATTCTCAATGGAGTACAAGGTATGAATTTCCTTTCAAATAGAGCTGTAAGTAGTGAAGTGATTTACACTTCATGTTTGTTTTGAATTGTAAATTACTGCCTGAAAGTTGCATCATATTCACTAAATACTTTTATTTCAGAAATGACAGATATCATTGGCATAGAATATTAAGCTGTAGATGCTGCTGTTAGCTACTGGGAAAAGCACACCCAAATAAAAGCACCCTCATGAATTTTACAGCTAAAGTTATTAATTAGCTATCGTGGACTGATTCCAAGACTGTAATCGTACTCTCAGGAATTGTGGTTCATATAGTTCAGTGTAGTTTTTGTTAATTCATTCATAACCTGAGAATGTCACTGTCCACAGTTGCCCTTGGGAAGGTGGTGGTGAGCCGTCTTCTTGAACTGCTGCAAGTCCACATGATGTAGGAACACCAGTTAGTTGTTCCTGGATTCTGACCCTGTTACAACAGAGGATCAATATCCTGCTGCCGCGTGCAATAATTTGTGTACTTACAACCCCGGGACTGTTTCTGCAGGCTCCTTAAATTGTACCCTCTATTTTATATTGTCTCTCCTCATTCTTCCTACATATATAACTTTGTATGGCTCGGCATTAAATTTAATCTGCCACATGTTTACCTGTTTTACCCACCCACATCCATTTCAAGTCTTTCACCATCTTCCTGAACATTCTGTCAGCAAATTTTGAAATGGTTACATATCACCCAGTTTGCATTTATATTGAATCTTCCATGATTTCAACATATTCCAAAGGTGTTTTACAGCCATTGAAGTACTTCTGAAGGGTAGGCACTGCTGTACTCCAGAAAGAATGGCAGCTAATTTGCATATAGCAAGATCCCACAAACAGCAATGAGATGAATGATTAGGTGAAATGTATTTTCAGAAGGTTGTTCAGGGGATAAATGTTGGCCAGGTTGATAAGGAGAACACCCGAGCTCTTATCTGAAATAGTGTCATAGGATCTTTTAGGAGGACAGATGAGATATTGACTTTCTACCTTGTTTGACAGATGGGAACTCCAGCAGTGATGTGCTGCTTCAATACTGTCCAGGTAGTGTAATTGTGAATTAGGGGCTTAAGTCTGTGTGATGGGATTTGAAAATCTACAGTAGTTTGAGGCAAACCTGCTACCTGCTGAGCCACAACTGATTACATGTAAAACTGGCCCAGAAGTGAGAAATGTCATCACCCGTCACCAAAAACTGGGTGAAAATGTGTTTATCTAACTGAAAAGGTGAGAGGTTGAAGGGCGCACAATTTTCCCTCCATACCACAATCAACAATAGCTGTTCAGATGTGGATTGTGTCCATTTATCTCCTTGTGTTGCTTTTTAGATTGGAAAGGTGCTATGATGTATTTATTTCTCTTGCTCATGTCTGTCAGGCTTTTGGACCCGAGGCTTTATGAAAATTGGGACTCAATGAAAGGATACCTGATTAACTCAACAGGCATTTGGTCTGGTAAATGATTATTGGAATAGTGCTTTGCTTCATGTCTTTTAAGTCACGTTGATTTGTCTGTCTTTTATATTCTTAGGTTCTGGATGCTCTGAAGAGAGTGATGATGATGATGGCACCCGATGTGAAGCCACCTGGAGAAAAGATCCACAACAGGACTCGACAATGCAGGAGAGGAAGGAGCAAGCCTTTCAGGACCAGAGAAACCTTCCTACTGCTGGAATGCCTACAGCTGGTGCCAAGTTGGGAAGTATCTCTGACCCTCTGGAATGGGTAAGAAGGGGAAAATGTTCTGAAGATGAGGAGGAGGAAACTGTGAGATTGAAACTCTCAGGTCAGAAAGAACCAACAGAGAGGTGGGCAAAGTCGCATATGAAGCGTTCCCGGAGGAAAAGAGTTGGAGCCGAAGACTGGACGCAAAAGGGGTCACCTAACTGCAAGGGTGAGAGGTCAAAAGGCAAAGAATCTCCCCTCAACATCACCACTAGCAGCAGCAGCAGCTCGGATGAGGATGGTGAAAGAATTGAAATGAAAAGCTCCCCCACCAGAAAACACAATGGATTGCAGGAAAAGAGGAAACCTCTGCACACCACTTTGTTTTCCAGTTTCTCAGAAATGCCCGAGAAAAGGATCAAGCTTTTAAATAATTCCGAATTAAGGGTTCAGAATGCAAAAGTGAAGGACCGGAAAGATGTATGGTCAAGTATCCAGATCCAGTGGCCGAAGAAGGTTCTGAAGGAGCTTTTCTCTGATTCCGATACTGAGACCACGTCGTCCCCACCTGTGGCACCAGAAGAGGCAAAGGCTGAGGGACCAACCAAGACTGCCAAAGAGGAGGAGAGGCTTCCAGCCATGGAAGTTGAAACTGCACCTTCACTTATCTCCCCTGTCAGACCCAGCGAGGAGAAACCAGCTGAAAAGCTGGACAAGAAGGGAGAAATGCCCAGCAGTGGTAGCAACTCTGTGCTCAATACTCCACCCACCACCCCCGAGTCTCCGGTCTCAGTCACAGTGACAGAGGCCACCAGGCCACAGCCAAACACTGTGCTCACTCAAACCTTGGCTCCAAGCCAGGAGGAAGTCCAAAGTGTTAAGAGTGAAACTGACAGCACCAATGAGGTGGATAGTGTGACAGGGGAGCTGCAAGAGGGGCAGTCCGAAGGCAATGTCTCCCCAACAGGGTTTGATGCCAGCATTAGCTCCAGCAGTAGCAATCAACCCGAGCCAGAACATAAGGAAAAAGGTAAGTGATTGCATAGAAACAAAGCTCAGAATGTTGCAGAGAGTTTGCCAGAAATCTTTAGCTGTGTTTTAGTTTAGTATGTGTCAATATTAACAGGAAGGTTAATAAGGATCCCACATGTCCCAAACTTTGCATTTAACGCAGCACTGCCATTAGAATCATTTGTAAGTTGTTGACTTTCATGGTTCTGAATGAATCTTGTTGATGCAATTCGTATGGGTGCACCAAGTTTGTGGGAATGACATGTTGAATTGTGACTGGTAAGATAATGTCGGTAATGGAATGACATGGTGACTGAAGGTAAGAAGCCACTTGCCATTTAAGGATCGCTGATTCTACAAGTTTGTCTTCCACAAACATTTATTTTATCACTGAACTCAACAGATAGTGAGAGCAGATATTTGAATCCCATTTGTGTCTATAGTGAAGTGAAATGAGATTCACTTCTTCAAAGGTCTGACAGCACTTTACACTAACGTCAGTTCTGATTCAGTTTGACTTTACGGTGTAACTAGTGCTGATGAGACTGCATAGCAGTGATCCTGTAGTTGTGGTATAAATGCAGCATTAAACAATGGGACATTGTGAGCTGAGTTCACAAGGCGAGTGTGAGAGAGAACATTGGCATAAACTCTTGTAGCAGGACTTTTTTTTTGACAAATGTGCCAAAAGGTTGTACAGACTGCTTTAGTATCAAAATTCTATTGATCTATTAATAACTCAAGTTGCTTTGAGAAGAAATATTTTGATTTGCTTTCTAAAAGCAATGGGCTTCTCTCTTAAAGGCCAATATCAAATTTAAATTTACACAAACCTTTTTTGCCAGTGGGCAACATTTTTAACTGAATTGTAGTGTTTTCTGCGTTGGAAACCAGCCATCCAGCCAACAGAGCTAAGCAATCTGCTTTTGAGGTGTTGACATCAAAGCATTTATTGCCCATCTTGAATTAATTTGTCCTTAAAGGTGATGGTGAGCTGCCTCCTTGTACTCCATTCCATGCGGTGTAGGAGGTACACTTGCAATGCTGTCAGGGAGGGAGTTCCAAAATCTTGATCCAGTGACAAGTGATGGAATGTGAACTTTATTCAAAATCAGGATGGTGTTTGATTTAGAGAGGAACTCGGTGATGGGGGTGATCCCAGTGCATGCTGTCCTTGATCATCTAGGTGGGGGGAAAAAAAGTGCGATTTTTGGAGGTACTGCAGAGAAAGCTGTGACAAATTGCCGCATTGCTTGTTTAATACATTTTGGAAATTCAGCATGTTTCCGTAACATCATTAGGGGTGAGTTTTTATCATTCAGTGCATGTGGTGATTGAGCAGGTTATGGACATGATGATGTTAGGGATGCAGTTGTCTGCCTCACTGCTTCCACAGCTAAACCTCCATGGACGTAAGATGAACTTCAGAGGATGATCTAGCACAAAGAAGGCCATTTAGCCTATTGTACCTATGCCAAACATGGCCAGGCCAGGAATGGTTCACACTGATGGCAGCAGTAACTGCACATAGAGCAGTACAGTGGCTCAGTGATTAGCACTGCTGTTTCACAGCGGTCACAGAAATCAAGCCCAGTAAGAGAGACCACTTGCATCGGCGCTCTGACCTACACAGTTGAAACCAGACATCTGAACGTAAACACAAAAATCCTAGGTTCAATCCCCAGACTTTACAGTTTGTGATCTTAGTCCTGGTAGCAAAAGGGTATGACAATAGGTGTCACTTCGCCCTTGTCCTGACACCTATCCCCATCCCTGGGATTAAGGGTCAGGAAAATTGGCTGACCATCTTGCTGTCCATCTGTCCCTGCTGGAAGTTGACTGTGGCAGATGTTAGATGAAGCCAGGATTGACTTTGGCTCTAATAACTTTTTGTTATCCTGCCAGGAGAGAAAGGAGCAACATACATTTCTGTAAACACTTCTTCAATCTCAGGAAGTCCAAAGTTGCTTCAAAGCCAATAAGTTGTTTTCAAAATATGGCCTCTGTTGCATTTCCTCCATTTAAAACAGCCAATTTATCCAAAGCAAGTTCCCACAGACAATATTGAGATAAATGGCTAGATGACCTGTTTTGGCAAAGCTGTTTGAATTATAAATAATGCTCAGGACACTGGTGATAATTCTCTCACTCATTGAATAATGCAGTGGGATTCATCTAAGAGAGTAGATGTGTCTCGGTTTGACATCTCCTTGGAAGGATAACCTCTCTGAGAGCTCTGAACTGAGGGATCTTTCAGTACTATATTTAAGTCTCTGAATGGGGCTTAACCCATAAGCATCTGTTCTCTCAGGAAGCGATGCAGTCAAAAGGATGGCAGAAATTAGAAAGGGTTAATGGAGTGTGGTCAGCAAGAAGGATAAAGGAGGAATTTAGCACATCATAGGGGATATATCTTTTCCATTGGTGTTGACAGTATTACTGAACTGAAGAACTTAGTCCTATATTTCCCAAATCTGTTAAATACTGTCAGAGTTATGAGCCCATAAGGTGACATTTAGTTTATTACTAGTCTAATTTTGTAATCCGTGTCCCTCAAACAGCTGGAGATACAGCCGGCATCTCTTGTTTCCCTTGTACATGATTAATACATTAATTGAGGTGTTTATGATTTGGGGCGGCACGGTGGCTCACTGGTTAGCACTGCTGCCTCACAGTGCTAGTGACCCAGGTTCGATTCCACCTTTGAGCAACTGTCTGTGTGGAGTTTGCACATTCTCCCCACGTCTGCGTGGGTTTCTGCTGGGTGCTCTGGTTTCCTCCCATAGTCCAAAGATGTGCAGGTTAGGTAGATTGGCCATGCTAAATTGCCCGTAGTGTCTAGGTGAGTTAGCCATTGGAAATGCAGGGATAGGGTAGGGAGGTGGGTCTAGGTGGGATGCTCTTTGGAGGTCAGTGTGGACTTGATGGCTTAATGGCCTGCTTCCACACTGTAGGGATTCTATGATTCAAAGATTGATGGAAACTATTTACTCTTTTGGAAAGATTCAGAACTCAGGGTCAGAACCTTAAAATTGGAGCCAGTCTGTTCAGGAAGTAGTCTGCACACAATAAAAAGTGGAAATTTGCAGCTCCCTCCTCCAAAAACTTGTTTGAGGCTGGAGGCAATTAAAAATTCCTAAAGTGGATTGATAGATTCTTTTTGGGCAAGGATATCCAAGGTTACAGAGACAAGTTACGTAGATAGAGTTCCGTTTCAGACAAACCCTGATCCATTTGAATGACAGAACAGGTCTAAAAACAGAACAGGCCGCCTCCTTTGTTAGTGATGCTTGTGAAATGTCACATTGTTTTGCTCCTTCACTTGACCATTCTTGTTATATATCTCTGACTCCTCCCTTCCCTCCATCTACATATGTTTCTATTTTCTGGCGATAAGGTAGCCACCAATATCCATTACAAATCCACTTACAATGGAGCTGATGAAGGGTCCCGATCCAAAACATCAACTTTCCTGCTCCTTTGATGCAGCCTGACCTGCTGCGTTTCTCCAGCTCCACACTGTATTGATTCCCCACCACTGGCTGGAGGGCCAAAGCCCCATCATCTGCCTAGGTACCTTACAGCCTTCAGGTCTCAATATTGTGTTTAATAATTTCAGAAAGTGAACACTGTTTTTCATATTCATTACCACCACCACCCTCCTACACCCCACACCCCTACGTCCTCTTTTGTATTAGTTGCATCCGGTGCAGCCAAACCCATTTTCAACCATTGACACTTCACAACAGCACCCTACCTAGCATTTCTGTCTCTCAGCTTATCAGCAACGTCATCATTTCTCATGCTGTCTGTCTCTCTCTTGCTCTCTCCCTTCTTTACCTCTCTGTTCACTCCCAATCAGTACAAACGCCACCCCTTTCCCAGCTGTTTTCAGTTCTGCTGAAGGGTTTCTGGACTTGAAACATTTGCTCTGTTTCTCTTTCTACACAGATCTGCTGAGTTTCTCCACCACTTACTGCTTTTGTTTTAGTTGTATATATTCTTCTAAATTTCATTGGATACAGATCTTTGATGTAGCACCTTGCCACGTCTCATTTTCAAAATCCAAACACACCACATCTACAGCTCCCTTTTATCCCTTTTATCTATATGATACATTTTATTTTCTCAAATATCTCTGATAAATTATTTTCCTTTCGTAACTCCATGCTGACTGTCTGATTGCTTTAAAGTTTCTTAGTGCCATGTTATAACTTCCTTAATAAATTACAGTACTTTCTATGTGACAGATGTGATCTGTTCTTTTGTGTTTTCTGCCTCTTTCTTGAATAGAGGAGTTATATTTGGTATTTGCCTGTCTGAAAGAACAAACGATGCATCTGCTATCTCCACAGAAACTTTGAGATCCTGGGATGAAGTCAGGTTTCTTCCTTCCCTTATCACGTCTTAATTTGCAAGTATTTTTGGGGTGTTGTTTGTGATGTTATTAGGCAAGAATGTTCAAAAGTTGATTGTGGGTGAATATTTGCAGGTAAAGGGATGGCTGGAAAATGGGAACCCTTCAGGGATGTACAAGGTAGGTGGATTAGCCATGGGAACTGCAGCGATAGGGTAGGGGAATGCTCTTCAGTGAGTCGGTGTGGACTTGTTGGGCCGAGTGGCTGTTTCCACACTGTAGGGATTCTATGACTTCTATGACTTCAAAAATGAAATAACGAGAGTCCAAAGACAGTATGTACCTGTTAGGGTGAAGGGCAAGGCTGGTAGGTGTAGGGAATGCTGGATAACTAGAGAAGTTGAGGTTCTGGTCAAGAAAAAGAAGGAAGCATATGTCAGATATAGACAGCAGGGATCGAGTGAATCCCTAGAAGATTATAAGAGCAGTAGCAATATACTTGAGGGAAATCAGGAGGACAAAAAGGGGACATGAGATAGCTTTGGCAAGTAGGGTCAAGGAGAATCCAAAGGGAATCTACAAATACATTAAGGACAAAAGGGTAACTAAGGAGAATATAGGACCCCTTAAAGATCAGTAAGGTTGCTTACATGTGGAAACGC